AGCCGGATAATTCCGTATAAAGTCCGAAATAGCCGTATTGCGTCCGGATAAAGTCAAAAATAGCCGGAATACGTCCGGATAAAGTCCAAATAGCCGGAATATGTCCGGATAAAGTCCGACATAGCCGGATTAATCCGGATAAAGTCCGAAATAGCCAAAATACGACCGGAGAAAGTCCGAAATAGCTGGAATACGTCCTGTTAAAGTCCGAATTAGCCGGAATGCGTCCGGATAAAGTGCGAAATAGCCGGAATACGTCAGGGTAAAGTCTGAAATAGCCGTATAAAGTCCGAAATAGCCGCAATACGTCCGGATAAAGTCCGAAATAGCCGGATAAATCCGTATAAAGTAAATACGACCGGATAAAGTCGGAATTAGCCGGATTCTCCGGATAAAGTTCGAAATAGCCGGAATACAAACCGCATAATGTCCGAAATAGCCGGATAAATCCGGATAAAGTACGAAATAGCCGGAATGACGCCGGATACAGTCCGAAATAGCCGGATTATCCGGATAAAGTCCGAAATAGCCGGATTTACCGGATAATTCCGAAATAGCCAAATACGACGGAGAAATTCGAAATAGCGAGAATACGTCAGATAAAGTCGAATTAGCCGGAATCCGTTCGGATAAAGTCCAAAATAGCCGAAAAACGTCAGATTAAAGTCTGAAATAGCCGGGTATTCCGCATAAATCCGAGATGGCCAAAATACGACGAAGAAAGTCCGAAATAGCGGAATACTCCGGATAAAGTCCGAATTAGCCGGAATGCGTCCGGATAAATCCGAAATAGCCGGAATACGTCCGGATAAAGTCTGAAAGCGCGGATAAAATCCGAAATAGCCGGATTGCGTCAAGATAATGTCCGAAATAGCCGAAATACGCATGATAAAGTCCGAAATAGCCGAATAATCCGGCATAATGTCCGAATAGCCGGATTATCCGGATAAAGTCCGAAATATCCGGAATACGTCCGGAATAAAGTATGAAATAGCCGGAATACGACCGGATAAAATCCGAAATAGCCAGAAAACGTAGATAAACCGAAATAGCCGAATAAAGTCGAAATAGCCGGATAAAGTCCGAAATAGCCGCAAAAAGTCCAAAATAGCCGGATTACGTCCGGATAAAGTCCGAAATTAGCGGATAATCGATAAAGTCTGAAATAGCCGGAATAGACCGGATAAAGTCGGAATTATTCGAATTCTCCGGATAAAGTTCGAAAATAGCCGGAATACGACGGATAATGTCTCGAAATACCGGATAATCGGATAAATACGAAATAGCCGGAAACGTCGGATACAATCCGAAATAGCCGGATTATCGGATAAAGTCCAAAATAGCCGATTTTATCCGGATAATGTCCGAAATAGCCAAAGACGACCGGAGAGAAATTCCGAAATAGCTGGAATACGTCAGGATAAAGTCGCGAATTAGCCGAAGCGTTTCGCATAAAGTCGAAATAGCCGAAAAAACGTCAGGATAAGTCTGAAATAGAGGGTAATTCGGGATAAAGTCCGAATAATGGCCAAAATACGACCGAGAAAGTCGAAATAGCTGGAATAGTCCGGATAAAGTCCGAATTAGCCGGATGCGTCCGGATAAAGTTCCGAAATAGCCGAATACGTCCGGATAAGTCTGAAAATAGGCGGATAAATCCGAAAATAGCCGGATTGCTCCAAGGTAATGTCGAAATAGCCGAAATACGCTGCATAAAGTCCGAAATAGCGCATTAATCCGGATAAAGTCCGAAATAGCGGATTATCCCGGAAAAGTCCAAAATAGCGGATTACGTCGGATAAAGTCCTAAATAGCGAATACGTCCGGATAAAATCCGAATTAGGCCGGAGTGGCCCGGATAAAGTCCGAAATAGCCGAAATACATCCGGATAAAGTCCGAAATGGCCGGAATACATCGGATAAAGTCCGAAAAGCGAGATTAAAGTCGAAATACGACCGATAAAGTCCGAAAAAGCACGAATTATCCGGATAAAATTCCGAACTAGCCGGATACGACGATAAAATCCGAATAGCCGAATACGTCCGGATAAAGTCCGAAATAGCCGGATAAAGTCCGAAATAGCCGGATTGCGTCCAGATAAAGGCCGAAATAGTTGGAATACGACCGGATAAAGTCCGAAATAGCCGGATAAGTCCGGATTAAGCCGAAATATCGGAATAGCGTCCGGATAAAGTCGAAATAGCCGGAGGTTAATCGTCCGGATTAAAGTCCGAATAGCCGGATTACGTCCGGATAAAGTCCGAAATAGCAGATTATCCGGATAAGTCTGAAATAGCCGGAATACGACCGGATAAAGTCGAAATTAGCCGGTTATCCGGATACAGTTCGAAATAGCCGGAATACCGACCGGATAATGTCCGAAAAAAGCCGGATAAATCCGGATAGAGTACGAAATATGCCGAATACGCCAGGATAAATCCGAAAATAGCCGAATTAACCGGATTAAGTCCGAAAATAGTTGGAATACGGAACGGATAAAGTCCGAAATAGCCGGCATTGAATCCGGATTAAGTCCGAAATAGTTGGATACGACGGAAAAGTAAAATAGCCGAATACGACGGATAAGTTCCGAAATAGCGGATTACGTCCGGATAAAGTCCGAATTGCCGGATAAGCTCGAAAATAGCGAGTTAAATCCGGATAAATCCCGAAATAGTTGGAATAAGACGGCATAAAGTCCGAAATAGCCGGATTACGTCCGGATAAAGTCCGAAATCGCAGGTTATCCGGCTAAAGTCTGAAATAGCAGAGATACGAGCGGAAAAGGTTCGGAATGACCGCGGATTTATCCGGAACAGTTCGAAAATAGCCGGAATAGACGCGGATAATGTCCAAATAGCCGGATAAAGTACGAAATAGGCCGGAATACGTCGGATTAAAGTCCGAAACAAGCCAAATTATCCGGATAAAGTCCGAAATAGCCGGATTATCCGGATAAAGTCCGAAATAGTTGGAATACGACGCATAAGTCCGAAATAGCCGGATTACGTTCCTGGATAAAGGTCCGAAATAACCGGAATAACGTCCGGTAAAGTACGAAATAGCCGGCAGTAACCGACCGGAATCAAAGTCCGAAATAGCCGGATACATCCCGGAATAAAGTCCGA